CACAAAGTTATTTCTCTCTCTCTCTCTCTCTCTCTCTCTCTTTCTCTAATACGAAAATCGATGATGAGCCTTCGCGGCTTCTGAGAGAAACCGGAATCTCGCGATAAATCAACATCTTCATCTCGTTAAAGGCGCTGAGAGAGGGATAAGGGTGCACGCGTACATAGCCAAGAAAGGGGTTTGGCTCTCGCTCACCATCACTAATTACTTTAGTTATCCTCCTTTAACCCTCGACGTTCCTCTTAAACCCACCCTCGTCATAAACTGTAGTGAAGCCTCGAACCTGTGTGAAACGGCACCTCGCTTTCTCTCATCCGTTCCTCTCTCCGTCGACCCTTCTCCGCCGCCCCTCAAAGTACAGATTACTCCCGGGAAAAGCTTTATTATTATCATCCACCCGTGGCATTGCAAGTCCTTAATTAAATTCGAGAAAAGATTCATGAGTCCGGCAAGCAATCCAGGGTGCGATAATTTGAGGTAATCTTCAAATCGCATTTGTCGCGTATGTGTAGGTATTTTGTACAAAAAAAAAAAGACTCCGGCGGAGAAAATGTTCAAAAAATTAAAAACCAATTCACTTGCGAGCGTTTTGATATAAAAAAATAAAATATTTCGAGACGTCGTTTGCGCACTTTACGTGAACGTAGCATCTTTCTTTTTTTTTAAATAAAGAATCGCGTAAGTAGTTTTGTGGCACAAGAGTGTATTCGAACGTCGACGTTTCGCTTATAGTTGCGTAAATATATAAATTGAAATGTAGCGTGTGATATGAAACTACGTAACAACGTGATAACGAGCAATGCCGGCGGTAACAATGCTATTTCGACACGCATCTGACACGTCGATAGCTCGATAACTTAGATTGCAAACACCGACGACGGAAGTTGCGATAGTGATATTATCGCGCACTCGGTACATTAAGGGAGATGTGAAATTCGGCATCTGTTGCCAACACTTCGTCGCTATTAAGAGACATCGGTAAGGAGAGAAAGAGACGGGTACGGAATCGAACGAGCGGCGGCTGAGCGAGTGACAAAGAGAAAGGAACTATCATTGGACAATAATCGCTTTTATGGGCGTTCGTGTGGCGAACCGTGATATTAGATAGCCGGCCGACGAGTGCGCAGAATCGCACAGTCCTCAAATCGCACGAGAGAACTCCCGACCCCCCGGAAACACCCTCTAATAAAGCTGGGAAAAGTTTCTCTCTCGCGAGCGCGCGATAAAAAGTAATGTTAGAGATATTGCGGGTGCGTTCGGTCGGAGTTCAATTGCTTTTAACGACGGGATCAAGTTCGATATGTACTTACGGGACCGAAGTATCATTTCATTGGGATCGACCGATCAAAATTGCCATTTTGCTTGGCACACACTTCGACAAAACCATTCCGTTTCCGCGGAATCAATGAACGATGTCGCTTTATCTCACTTAGTTCAAAAATTTCGAATCTTCCGAAGTCTTCAGATCTAACTAGAATATACATACGAAAAACGCGCGCGCAAAGAAAAAAAAGAGGAACAAAATTCACGTCGCGACAAAATACCCGATCGATCGATCTTTGCATAGGAGATACTCTCTCGACGATACTTCGATTCTTCAGATATTTCTCGTCGATTAGATATGTTTTATATGATTGACAAATTTCTGCTATTCAAAATTTTCAGTTTTACCACCGTATTTGCGCGCCGCACTCGAGTTTATATATTCGACGCGAATATCCGCTCTAGATTCTTATCACGTTGTCCGCAATCGCTCAACGAACGGGAAGAGAGGGCGCGCGACGGAAGAAAGGCGCAAAATCACCTTTTGTATGCGGATTGCGGAATCGCAAGAAACGCCAATTCACTCGTCTCGGTGAGGACGGGAAACGAGCTTCGCTTCGCGTGCACGTATACGTGCGCGGCCGATTTCTGTGTGCGCGCGCGTGTGTATGCGACGCGCTTGATCCTTAGATTTTCTCGTAAAACCAGCGACAGAGTGAGCCTCGACCAATGGCGGTGGAAGCATGGCGCTCGAGGTGTGAATTATACATGAGGATATATCCCTACACAGTCTTCTACGCCCGCCCTGTCCCTTTCTCGCGCGCCGCCGTTGTCTTTCTTGCTCGACCATGTACTCACCGCGACCACAATTCATCCAACCAGACACGGCTTCTTGTTTGCTCAATCTTCTCACGCTACCATCTCGGCCGATCGGAAAGCGATAATGACTTAAAATTTCCAAAACTTCATCTTTGTCAGTGGAGCTCATTCGTGAAATTGTGTCGCTCCCTTGACTTCAAATTTTCAACTTTCTTCGATTCTTAATCGTTTAAATAAAGAGATTTTAGACAAATTTTGTAATTTACATAATTTTAATACGTAGTACATTCTTTCGCATTTCGATTGCAAATAAAATTTAAAAACCAAAGCCGAGTCGAGTTTCACAATCGACGGATAGCGCAAAAAAAGAAAACAGCGCGTGACAATCGCGGAATCTCAAATTTTTAATATATAAATTTTCTTCTTAAAACTCGACAATAATTAATTCAGTGCGTTTGTATAGTTTCCGAATGCTTCAATTATTTTAGCGGAGTATTTCAACAAACGCGCACACACGTCGTTCGCTGCTCGACTAAGAGAACCAATTACAAGAGCGATTTGCGAATTAAGCAACGATCTGTTCACTTCCGCGTAATGCACGATATACAGAGTAATTATCTCGAATATAGAGCGAGGCACCTTTAAGTGCCGTAGACTTGCAGGCGTGCATTTTACGTATGCGTGGATTCGCGGGACGGTATCGACATATCGTGTTAATACGCATAAGAGAAAGAGAAATCGCAGCCGGAAGAGAGGAAGGAAGAGAGCTAGGCACGTAATACCCACCACGGTTTGGGGTTAATCGGGCGATGCCAGTTCATTAGTCGCACATGTAGGTGTGTGTACGTGTGTGTATATTGTATAACATATATATATGTGTGTGTGTGTGTACGTATTGCACGCGGTGCTATACGCGTTGCACATGAGTGGACGTCCCGACGCCGTTCGGCTGCCAAGCCCCAGCTCGGCGACGCTAATGAAACTAAACGATACCCGGAAATGGCACTGTGAGTTAGTTTCATTTGATTTCATGAGCGTAGTTCGGCCGTTTTGCGCGCTAAACGCAAGCGAATGTCCGCGACACACGACCAACATTCGAGACTTTTTTTTATTTCATCTCGCGTGTCGTCCAAATTTGAATAAACGAATTGACGATTGAATAAATCGCTCGCGCGTCGATGTTGTGGAGCAAATTTTCCGAAAGCACCGGCGATGCGATACATTCCGGAAAATAGCAACGGAACGTGACGTAACAAAATTTATCACTCTACATCGCGCCCTATAACAAACCTGCAGCTTCAATGCAAAATTTATGCGTTTGTTGCAATTGCGATTATTGCATTTTCTATGGTAGCAACAGGTAACATGTATGTAACATCCCGTCCTTTACAAGATCAAGAACAATTGCTAAATTAACTAATTTAAAAGAGAGAGAGAGAAAGAGATTCTTTTCAATAAAAGTCCGATAATAAAAATAACGTAAATACAAAAATAAACATATAATTAAAAATTCGAGGACGTTTGTTTTTTTTTTTTATTGAATTTGCCTTGCTCTTCTCTTGGAAAGTTCTTCGTGATTGGCATTGAGATTATTATTACGTGAAGTTAAGTAATATACACGCGCGGGGGATGAGGAAGAATTTATATTACATTATATTGCGCCAAGCTGATAAACTGCAATTACTCTCGATCGTTCTTGAAATCGATATACTTCTTCGTGTAATTAGGCGAACTCGGCACACTCGGAGAGTTTCAATCGCGTATACTTGCGCGCGGTAGATTCGGGTTTGTATTCGACAAAACCGAGCATTAGTCTCTATCAATCTGCCAAATAAAGCCGCGAGAGAGAGAGAGAGAAGGGAAGAGAGCAGAGCTTTCTGCATGGCGGAACTAAATTCTCTCAGCGTTGAATACGAGGGATTCGTACTTCGCTAAAGCGACAATTAGTGCTCTAATAAGGTCATTAAGCACAATATATATTCTCGACGTATCTTCCGGTCTTGCACGCGCCTAACTGCTCGATAACGGCCCGTTATCAAGAACGCGATTATCTCCCGCGGGATCATTCTGCAAATCATTATTCACTTTCCTAATAGACTATTTTCTCGACCTGATTTTCTGCGATTCAATTATTTGAAATCTGTTGAATGGAACACGGAAAATAAATTCACGGAAATTATCAGAAAATGTGCAAATAAACAGACAACTTCGTATACACATCGACAAAACCATGAACACAAGGAAAAAGATTTGAACAATTTTTGACGTGACAAAAGATAGATCATATGATTTTATTACCAAAAAAAGAATTACTATAGAGAATTACTCTCTATAGTAAGTGCAATCATATCAACATCAGGGAAATTGTTAACAAAATTTATATTTTTCGTTAAAATCGCGTCAGTACATTTTGTTGATTAATTACGATTCCAATTAGCACGTTATACAGATCGGTTTGAACTACTATTGCGTCTAGGAGATCATTAAGCACGAGGATTAAACACCGTGTGCCGTCTCTAATGTTCACGGTGCAGCCTCTCGATTGTAATACAACACGGAGCACATCCGCCTATCATCGCGTATGCAAATCTGCCTGCATATGACATGCCTGATGCGATTATCGAGAGCGAGAATTCTGGATCACAAGGAATCGAATTACGTGCTCCGATGCGCACTATAATTGATATGTCATTGATGTGCCCGGTGTTCGGAAAACTGCGTCAATGCAAGAAGAAGGTCGCGACTTGCTTGGTGCTTGATAAATTCGTTGAAATATAGCAAAAAAAAAAAAAAAACCACACAATTCTCGCGAAATATTAAATTGTGCATCGTTCGAACAATCTTTTTTTTGGAAAGATATATATGTAAAAAAGTTTTCTTTCTCTTCTTCTTCCCCAGACAAATTTATGTTCGCTCACCTGCGAATCCTTGAGTCCCAGTTTTTCGGCGAGCTTCTTGCGATCTGGTTTACTGATGTACTTCTGTATCTGGAACCTTTTCTCGAGCCCACGTCGCTGGAGGTCCGAGAAAACGGCTCTTCTCATCATTCCTCGACGTGGTTTGCCGCGCGCGTTCGTCGCCCACGGAAAAACCAGACCTGTTCCGGAAAAGTCGCCGATGCTGCCTTGAATAGCACCCGGAAATACGGCACCACCGCCGGGTGTGCCCGGATGATGACTTCCGGTCCCGGAACTAGCGACTATATCGAGAAAAAATACATCGAAATAATTTCATTACTTCGATATTATTTTACTCTGCACAGAAAGAAACAATCTACGTTGATGTCGATAAAGAATACAAAAAAACAGTCATCATAAAAACCCCATATGCGATAGAGGCGAAGTACGAGATATGCTTTGTTACACGATAAAAACATGATAAAAAAAAAAAAAAAAAAAAACTATCATATCTCACGCGTATCGATGTATTTTAATACAATAAAACTTCTTACAAAGAACATTTGAATAATTTTTAAAACTACAATTATACAACAATACTGTTTTTTACTTTCTTCCGAAATAATGATCAAACGACGCGAACAACGCTGCAAAAACTCACGTCGAACGCAAAAGAAAACCTGTGCAAAAAATTAGCGCGCGTGAGAATTGTTTAAAACACATCGCATTATTCGCGCGCGGGCCACGCGATCCGCCCGATCGCCCGATTGTATCAAAGTCATCTAATAACAGACGGGCAATTGAATCTCCAGATCGTGTCTGCGCGATATTGCCAAGCTGAGCATGATGGTATTATCTGCACCGATGATATTTGCACGCACTTGTTGCATGCGTGCATTTTGCCTTGTGGCGGAGCATGTACATAATATGGTAGTGCTTTCACTGCACTTCATATGCACTCCATGTCCCATACGAGCCTACCTATAACAAGATATTCGATAAACCCGCCGCCGTGTGTGCGCGAGACCCGTGCACGTGGCCGCGCGCGCGAGCGTTTATACGCGCGCGCTCTCGCTGCCTGGCGCCATATGCGGAAGTTTCGGTTTTAAATGTTCGTCGGGGTTCCCCGTGTTTCCGCGTCGTCCGTCCGCTCTTGTTTATTAACTGCGGAATATTCGCGACGACCTACGAAATATAATAAATATCCGAAACCCGGAAATATATCGTTTACGATGTGTACAAAATATCTTGTATCGCATTTTTCAAGAGCGCATATGTGTGTTTGAGAATTATCTGAATATACTTAAAAAATACTGGACAAAAATTCGACAACTATGTTTCTTCGATATTATAAATAATCGAGCACTAAATCTAATTATTATTAAATAAAATCAAAATTTTAATAGATTTTGCACAACAAAAGCAATTTTTATCCGCAGTGCTATATTGTGTAACTTTTTACCTGTCAAGTATGGGCCTCTGTAAAACAATTGCTGCAGCGTGTGATGAGCGTTCGGCGGTAAGTGTCGTTGAGGTGGTTGATGACTCGGCCTGTGATAAGGATGATAAGCCGCCGGCCTCGCGATCGGTTTGGCGATATTGTAGCTCGCCGAGTTCTGCAGATTTTGCAGAAAGGCGGGTATCGCCTCTGGCGGTAATCCTTGAAAATTATCTGCACGAAACAAAATATTGCAAATTAACGTTCACCGTTAGACAAATAAGTCGTGGTCATCGTTTCCATTTTTATTTATTCATATCTCGGTCTACTATCTAAACTTTTTCCTTACGTGACTTAATTTACATTTTCATCGTCAAAACACGATATACAATTTATGCGCGGTGTGTTTCTATACGGCGCTTCTCTCGTCAGATATTCATATTAATTCATGCGGGAATATCGGGTGACGTTTTATGGAAGTTTTGAGGCTTCCGAATATGGAGACGTAAACCGCGACGGCGATTAAATATGGAACGCTCTCCGGCTGTGTTTCACGGCAAAATGTGCCCGGGGTGGCGGATTTACGTGCGAGCGAATACCTAAGTCGCCGTATTCCTTCGTGTTGCATAATTCGGGCCGACACCCCCGAGACTAAAACCCTCCTTAACTGCTCCAGGCGGAGCCCGATCTCTTGTTGGCGCACGCTTCAACACCTCCGCCCGGGGTAAATAGCCAGACATTTGTGCGACCAACTGACTGCTTCGGATATCCTCGGTCTTATGCGCCGTAAAATACGACTGTGTACGGACAAACCGTTCGCTTTAGTGGTAACTCACATTTTATTCAAATGCACGACGGTAAAATTGGAGAGAAATAGAGAAAAGATCTTTGCCGCACGACACACACGTGTATTATTAAAATTATTAAAAATATGAGATTTTTTTTAACGCAGATATTTTACGTACAATTGTAATTTTCTCTTATTTCTTCATATAATATTATTCAATATGATTTTTTTTTTTTATTAATGCGTGCGAAAAAGATATCGTACTACTTTTTCTCTCTATATATTTAAAGAGAGAGATTATGCAGAGCATTAAACGGAACTTTATTTGATCGCAAAATACGGAAATTAATAGTTTTCGCGAGTCGTTAGCGTGTAAACAATTAAATTCAAACGTTAATTCGTAAATTTTAATTAATCTCCCGGATTGCAACTCGATAATAGATTTCTTTTTCATTTAACTTCAAGCTAAACATTTTTTTTTTTTTTTTTTTTTTTTTAGAGAAACGCTAATTCGATCGACACATTTTTTATGACAAAAAAATTAGAAAATTTTTTAATAGAAGAGGCTTTAATAAAATCCCTTGGGTAAAAGTTATGCGCCGAGATTCTTCATCGTTGTGCAACGACACTTTCGTTGAGCTCCCCATCGCGTCTCCGCAGGAAGATTTATCGACAACACGAAAGTTAACTACGTGCTCTGACGCGTATCCGCCGTCTCGAGGAGCAGAGTTCGGGCATGAAAGAAAATTTGGTCGACTCTCCAGCCCCCGTCGAGCAGTTCACCCTCTGGGCAAACTCGTCCACCTTTCTCTCTCTCTCTCTCTCTTTCTCTATCCACATTAATAATGCCTATAAGGGTTGATCGTCTCGATTGTGCGATTTCCAACATGTTTTTTTGCAGTGTCTCTTCGCCACGCCCAGAAAGGGAGAGGAGAGATGGAGATAGAGAGAGAGAGAGAGAGAGAGCGCTCTCGCTAAAAAAGTGACGTGTTTGAAAATAATAAAATAATGGAGGCTTGCGCAAAGCCGGGCTCGAGGTGCAAAAGAGAAAGATGGAGTAAGAGGAAAAAGAGAAAGAGAAGGCTTGCCTTGCGTTCGCGTCCAGACAATGCCCTGACAATGGCCCATACACGGCGTCCCATTGTGTCTCGCACTGTACCCTATAAAATACTCATCGCCTTTTATCGTTGTTTTCGTAGCCGGCCAATGAGAGAGAAGCGCGCTCTGCTTAGCCACGGCGACCTAATAACCGAGCTTAGCCTCCAACCGAAACACTGAATGGGAATAGTTTTTTAAACCGCCCCACCTACCCCGACATAACAGTCAGTCCCCTTGTGATGTTCATCCTTGCCCCCTCCTTTCTCTCTTTCTCTCTCTCTTTCTCTCTCGCGCGCGTCATGTGAGATTAAACCTCCTGTCTGCGGTTTCGAGAAACTCCGGGACGGCTCTCGTGTTGTTACAGTTGTGGGCCCCCTTTGCGTCCTTTTTTTTGTGCGTCGGGCTTAAGCAGCCCCCCCGGACCTTCAGGTTACGAGATTACAACATATATCGCTGGTTATTCTTTCGGATTACGGTCACGGATGCATTATTAACTAGATACATCGCGCTGCAGGTCTCCGCCTCGTGAATAGAGGGGGGTTGCTCGTTTATGGAACGGCGAGCGTACACGACGCCCCGATTTTTACCGAGTGCGGGTTTGTCGCCGAACAGGAAACGTGTTTGTCTTAGGATGAGTTTGGCGAAGCGATTCTCCACGAGGATGTTGCTGAAACGTTTCGAGATTTTGGACGGTTGATCGACCGTGAAGAATAACGCGAAGTTGATTTGACGTAGCACGCAATAATAAAGACGTGCTTACTTTCTGTCGCACAGTCTTTAATTTTCATTCATGATCTTTGCGTTCAAATGTAAAATGTGCTTTCTTTTTTGTTTTCTTCTTTTTTTCGAATTAACGACGACATCCGCCATATCGCGACATATCCAAACGTTCCTGCATCTGTGTGTGTGTAACTTTGGTTTTTCTCCTTTTTTCTTTACTTTCTTCATAAATTACAGATCGAATTAACGTAATAACAATTGATTCTCAAAAGTTTCTAGTCGAAAATATTTTGTTCTCAAATTCTCTTCTTTTTTTATTTTTAATATTGTAAATCAAACTCGTTCGTGTAATTGCCTCTTCTTTCTTCGATCATTCTCTCTTTTTCTTTTTTTTCACAGACTCTTATTTAACCACCGAATAAAATGCGACTTTTTTTTAACGGGAGATACGCGCATTAAATCGAGACTCGTGCTCGACACACAGTCAATATCGAAAAATATCAATAATCGTTGCGATACGCAACAAAAAACATGAGCCGCGAGAGGCGGCTCGCGGGGGAGAAACACGGGGGCGAGGGTGAAATGGGGAGGGAGGCAATGGCAAATCGCGGGACGATTGGTGAAAATGCTATTCGAAATTCAACGTCGCTCGCGTCCGTCAGACACCGATTCCCTTCCCTCCCGCGCAGCCCCCCTGCGCTGGATCATCCCTCGCAACCACCCTATTTACCCCCTTGCCCTCTCGCTCAAATTCTCGTCCCGCCGCGAGCGGCTCTCGTCGATGAATTTCGAGTTTGTTGCCAATCACTTTTTCGCGCAATTATTTCAAAACATTTCGACATGACATATAAGCCCGCGCGCGGGAGGGAGGAACGGTTACCACCGAGTATATACTGGGCACAGTGGGGGAAGCAGGGGTGAGGATGCATACGCGAGGTGGAGAAGAGCAGGGCAGAGAGGAAGGAGGACAGTGGGAGGACGCCGGTGCCACGCTCGTGGATGCTGGAGGGTCTATTCGCGGTGAGAGATTGGGGGGGCGGAAGGGAGGGAGGGAGAAAGAGAGGAAGAGGGGTGCGGTCTCTAGGTACGTACGGAGGATCCAGGGGGGATGTAACACATGCACGTGGCACGGTCAATGCATTCGCTATCCGACAAACGCACGAAAACCCCCCCCGCCGTCCACCTTCCAACCCCGTATCTCGAACGCACCGAATTTCCCCATTACCACCCCCGTGCACACGAGGTCCCTTTCCCCCCTCGCGCGCGCGATGTCTCTCTTTCCGCCCCTGCGTATCCTTCTGCCGGCAGATGCATGCAATTCGCCAATGTTAAATGCAACATTCACCTCTCTCCACCTTCGTGACGCGCCCTCTCACTCTTCCGCTCGACACCCCCTCGCTTCGCGATTTATGTACAGTTTATGCATCTAGTGCGTCTACGCGCGTTTATCGCGCGTCCACCACGGTCTCTCTATCGACTCGTGTCAATCAGAAGCGCGGGGGGTAAACTCGCTCGGCACCACCGTAGGAAAGAGTGACAATGAGGGCACACGCCGGACGAAGATTGGTCGGCACATTGTGTATACACGAGGGTCCACCGGCCCGTCGGACGTGCAAAACTTGCGAATGTTCGGACGTCCTGTGAATGACGGGACGGCATTGTGACTTTTGCGTGGGAGAATCGTATAATCCGTAACAATTTTTCACGCATTCTTCAGATGACGGTAAAAAATCGCTTCTCCTGTCTCGACGCAGTTACGTTATTGCTAAAAAATTACATCGCGCGCGCGCGCGCGCGCACTTGCTCACAAAGATTAATTAGTAATTCTCATAAAGTTTATATGTAATTGCGAATAATTTAGTTATTTCATTCCCTTATCAAGTTCATTTTTCATTTTCTGGAATAATATTCTGCTTTTCGATTTATAAAAATGTGAAAAAAAAAAGTACAGTTAGGTCGTGAATAATAAGTTTTTCTCATCATTATCGCTGAATAAGTACACAGTCAATTATGTGTCATCGATAATCTTACTTTTCGATCTCTTGCATTACTTCGCGAGAATTTCGCGGCAACTTGTTCGGGACCAAATCACGACGAACGGGAGAAACGCGCGATAAGCATCGCAATACATCATTGAATCCTGCCGCTTGTCTAATATTATAGGCACCAATCGTAAGGGCTTAATATTGGGGTGAAGGTAAGTGGCGGACCAGCTGACGCCCTGTGCGCTCCACCCCGCACGCACGCTGCGCGACTCGTCTTGAGGGTGTGCGGATGAGATTTAGGGACCGACGACAGAAGTCTGCTCGCGACACTGATTTGTGGTGAGCTTTGTTTCAATAGTCTCTGCGAGAAAGCCGTCCGATCGCCGCCAAACGAAACTTTTCTCGACGAATTGTAGTCGAGGGTGGACAGATTTGCGATCGCAATCGTCGTCGACTATAAGATGCACACGTACTACTGGACTATTAAAACATTCCGTCAGTACGTGTT